TTTCTTTTTTTTTTTTTTTTGGTACCAGAGATTGAACTCGGGTCCTTGTGCTTGCAAGATAGGCCACCGAACCACTGAGCTAAATCCCCCCGGCCCATAATGTATAATCTTTTCAATGATTTGTTATATTTTGTTTGCCTGTTCTTGTTGAGGGTCTTTACATTTATGCTTATTAAAGAAATTGGCCTGCAGTTTTCTTTTTTGTTGTTGTTGTTCATTCCTTGCCTGGTTTTGATATCAGGATAATGGTAGTCTCCAGGAATGACTTTGGCAGTGGTCCTTCCCTTCCAGTTAGCGTTGATCTTCCCTCTCTTATAGGATTCAGCAGTGAATCCATTGGGTCCTGGGCTATACTTAGTTGGTAGATTTTTTTTTTTTATTACTGCCACTAGTTTCATTGCCTGTTACTGACCATTCAGTATTTTTGTATCTTCTTGGTTGTTTTGGTAATTTATATGCCTCTAGAAATTTGTCCATTTCTTCTAGTATCTCCAGTTTATTGGCATTCAGGTTTTTGAAGTAGTTACTGTAATGCTCTGGATTTTTGAAGTTTTTGCAGTGATTTCTGCCTTTTTCATTTAAAATTAGGTTGATACAGGCTTTGTCTTTCCTTCTTTTGGTAAGTTTGCCTAAGAGTTTGTCTATTTTGTTTATCTTTTGAAGAACCATCTCTTCGGATCAAGAATTATTTTTATTATTTCTTTAGTCTCAATTTCATTAATTTCCCCTCTGGTCTTTATGATATCCTTCCTTCTACTAGCTTTGGATTTGGATTGTTCTTGCTTTTCTAAGGGCTTGAGGTGCATCATTGGGCTATTTGGGATTGCTTTGTTTTTCTGATGTGGGCATTCACAGCAAAACACTCCCCTCTTAGAATTGCTTTCGTTGTGTTTCATAGGTTCTCATATATTGTACTGGCATTATAATTTGGTTCTAGGAAATGTTTGACTTCTTTCTTTTTTTTTGTAACCCATTGATTATTCAAGAGTATATTATTGCGGGGAGTGGTGGCACATGCCTGTAATCCTAGCACTTGGGAGGCTGAGGCAGGAGGATCGCTGTGAGTTCGAGACCAGCCTGGGCTACATAGTGAGTTCCAGTTCAGTCTCAACTATGTAGTGAGACCCTATCTCAAAAAACCAAAAAAAAAAAAAGTATATTATTTACTCTCCATGTGCTTACATAATTTCTATAGTTTTTTCTTGCCATTTATTTCTAGTTTCATTGTATGATGATCTGATAATAGACACGGGGAAATTTCTATTCTATTGTATTTATTTAAGCAAGCTTTATGGCCTAGTATGGAGTCTTATTATGAACAGAGTCCTGTGTACTGCTAAGAAAGAACGTGTATCCTTTGTTGTTGAGTTGAATGCTCTTGAGATATCTATTAAGACCATTTGTTCAAAGGTGTGGTGCAACTCTGACATTTCTTTGATTTTTTTTTATCTAGTTGATCTATTTGTGAAGGAGAAGAATTGAGGTTCCCCATTATAACTGTGTTTTTATGTGATCTTTCAAGTACAGTAGTATTTGTTTTATGAAGTTGGGTGCTCTGGTATTTGGTGCTTAGGTATTTACAATTGTTACATCTTCCTGTTGAATTATTCCCTTTACCTGTTTGTAGAGAGCCTCTTTGTCTCTTCTGATAGTTTTGGGTTGAGGTCCACTTTGTCCAAAATTAGGAGAGCTACTCTTGCTTACTTTTGGGCTCTTGTTTGATGAACAGTTGTTTTCCATTTTTTATTTTAATCTATGTACTTCTTAAAATATTAAATATGGTTCTTGTATGCAGCATATAATTGGGGTGTTTTGTTTTGTTTGGTTTCGTTTAGCTTGGGGTGTGTGTGTGTGTGTGTGTGTGAGAGAGAGAGAGAGAGAGAGAGAGACAGAGAGAGAGAGACAAGATCTCACTATGTAGTCCAGCCTGGCCTTGAACTCACTATGTAGGTCAGGCTGGCCTTGAACTCATGGCCATCTTCCTGTCTCAGGCTCCAAGTACTGCAATTACAGGCATGTACCAACATGTCTGGCTAATTTGTTGTTGGTTTTTTTTTTTTTAATCCAATCAGCTTTTTTGTGTCTTTTGATTGCTGAGTCAAGTCAATTTATGTTGAAAAGTATTGACTGATTCTTATCATTTTGTTATTTTTCTGTTACTAATTCCTTGGTTTTTCCCTTTTGTTTGGCTGCTCACTCTGCTGGCTATATTCATTCCTAAAGATTTTTTGAATTCCTGTTGTCATTGTCTTTGTGAAGGATATCTTTTTTTTTTTTTTTTTTTTAATAGGGATCGAACTTGTGCTTGTGAAGCAAGTGCAGGACTACTGAGCTAAATCCCTGGCCCTGACTAGGATATTTTGAAGTATTTGTTACTGTACTGGTTTGGTTATCATTAATTTCTTAAGATGCTCCTTGTCACGGAAGGTCCCAATATTTCCATCAATTTTGCAAAATAATTTTTCAGGATCTATTAATCTGGATTGAAAGTAATTTCTTTTAGAATATGATGAACTTCCCTTCAATCTCTTTGAGCATTTAAAGTTTGTTTGAGAAATTTGCAAAAATTCTAGTAGGTTTACCTTCATGGGCGATTTGTTGTTTTTCTGTAACAGCTTTTGAAGTTCTGTCCTTGTGTTGGACTTCTGGTATTTTTACTATGATATGTCATGGAGAAGTTCTTTTCTGATCATGGCTATTCCGGGTTTTATATGCCTCACTTACCTGTATGTTGAATTATTTTCCCACAATGGAAAGTTTTCTGCCATGATTCTATACATAGATTTTTTATGCCATTCATGCCATCTTCTAATTTTTCTCTAATTCTGGTTTCTCTTAATCTTTGGTCCATCTAGCAATTGTTATATCATTGTCTGATCTCTTATTTTTTAAAGATATCTTTAGGTTACCTGCATTGGTCATGTATTTTAGTTCTGACATGTTCTCTTCACACAAGCCACTTCTGCTGTCCATACTTTCAGTAGAATTTCTTTCTCTTGGATTTCTGTTAGGCACTCTTTCATGAATTCTATTATATATAAATGGAAAGAGAGGGAGGGAGGGGAGAGAGAGAGAGAGAAAGAGAAAATCCATGAAAAAAATTCTATGCACTTCAGGAAAAGAAAAACTTGTATAAATATTTTAATGCATACCAGACATTGACTCCTGGTAAATTAACTGATTTGTCTACATGCACATTAGGATTTTCATGATGTCTCAATAAATTTAGTATTAAAATATTATATATTTATAACAAAATATTATTAAAATAATATATGCTAGATGGAAGGAGGAAGAGAGGGAAGATAAAGGAATAGGAAAGAGAAGAAGAAAGAAGAAAAAAGGGGAAGGAAAAAAGAAAAAAAAACTTCACACTGTTGCAAAAACACACAATCCAAGCATTCTTACAGTCCCATTTGTATTGCAGTGTAGTAAGTTCTCCCCCGTGCCCACGTTCACACATAAGGAATCTTGGACCTGTGGGGGGAAAAGAAGGTCTGGATGGATTTCTAGGTCTGGTTCTTTCCCACTCCTTTGCTGTCTTTGAAATTTGAGCAACACTTCATTTCTCACATCTTGTCAGTATAAGTCAGAAGATCCTGTGTGTCACTGTGTCCTCGCCCTTCTTAATCCAGTGTGCTGCTTGTTACTGCAGGTCTCCAAGCTGGTTCCCCACTATGATTTGCCCAGTCGCTTGCCTGTGAGCAAGGAGGCTTACTGATTCCAATGGCTGAGTCTGTCTCTCTGCCAGCCACTATGAGCATAGAAAACTGTAGGCCTTTTTGCCTCTAGCCCAAGATCTGACCACTTAATTTGAGAAGCAAAGGGTGCGGTGTGATTGCCCCAGCATCCAGTTCTGCCAGAGCCCTCTGAATCCCACTCCATTCTCCCTTGACAAGCTCTCTACCAATCACACTGTCAGATTCCCTCCAGGATGCCACTCTTCTGCACCCAGCTGCTCCAGGCAGGAAGTGGTGGGCCCTCCCATGATGGCACCTGGCAGTGGGCTGTTGGCAATGATTAGGTTGTCTTGAAGGCACAGAACTCCTTGTGTTTGGGGAAAGAGTGAGCATGTGCCTCTTCCTGAAGCAGTCCGGTCACTTCTCTCCTCAGCATTTCATGGCTCAGACACTGCCTGCTCACACAGCCTCCTGGCCATGATTTTCTCAGTGCTCAGATCTTGCTCCCCAGTCAGGATCATGCAGTTATTTTCAGCTTTCCCAAGAGCCTGTTGGTGCTTTCCCATACATACACTGCTTACTGGCTTTTAGTTTCTCTGATGCCATGGTTTGCGTTACTTGCTGTGCTCCTATTTCTAGTGGAAAAGGCTAGGAGCCTAGTTCAGTGGCCTGAACTGTAGGCTTCCTCTCCCTCACGGTGCCAGATTCTCTCCCAAGATGATGCATATACTCCCAAGACCTGGAGCATAAGGTGTGCTGTGGTCTAGGAATGGTCTGGTTTCCCTTTCTAAAGGTTACTGACACTGGATATGTATCTAGTGAGTTTCCCCTTGCTTTCCCTTAATTGGCTTTCTCTGTTGCCCATGGCTCAGTGTACCTGAATTCCTCCCGTGCACATATTAGAGCCTCCCTTACTGCTGCCACCTAATCAGCCACGATGGAACCTAAGAGTTAATAATAAACAATGCTGGAGGAAGATATAGTCTTTATAGCATTTCACTGAGTTGCTAGCAAACTACTGAACTGTACTTTAAAGATGAATATTTAAATCTTGAGGGTGAAGGGAGGGCAGGGACAAGGGGAAAAAATGAGAACCAAGACCTGTCATGTAAAGATGCAAGATCCCAATAGTGAATGTAACTGTACTGTATACCTAAAATGTACCAATAAACTCAATTAAAAAAAAAAAAACTTGAGCAATTCACTCAATAACTTTTGTGTCTGTATGTCTTTGCATGTTTAACAGTTAGGTTTTCTGAGCCATATACTCTGAGACATAATGTCATTAGAACTTAGAAGGTATATATGTAGCCATGTCCTGTTATGTCCCCATAAAAGTTTTAATTCCAATTAATTTTAAGTAATGTTTCTTTCAGAATATGAAATACAAATTAAAGAATGTTAAACTGTAATCTCTTTAAAAGGATTTAAATAATTCCAATTTTGGAGACCCACAGAAATTTTTAAAAAATGTTTTCAGAAGAGATGGTTGGTTATATAACTTACTGCTTTTTGATCTACTGAAATGACAAAGAACAGATTTACTGTATATACTGTACCTGTATAGGGAAGATAGCAATTTCCTCATGGAAATTGAACATATATACTGAAATATAAGGAATCTAAAAGAGGAAGTTACAACTTTAAAATCTATGTTGGTTATATTAAAAATATGAGTTTGTATTTAATACTTTTTATATATTTTTCACTTTCAGCCCACTTCGATGTGTTGTTCTTGTTGCACTGAGGGACATCAAGCAAGGAGAAGAGCTCTTTTCAAACTACTATACAATTGTCAGCTAACTTGGTGAATTAGAAATTAGGTTTTCTACTTAGCTACCACAATGAGTTAACTCTAAATGTTCTTTGTTAATCATTCTGAGTTCCAACTGCAGAGTATTTTGAAACTTAACTAAGAATTGTTGTATTGATTATTAGTTATGTTCCAATTTCATGGTAAAAGTGACTTCATTAAAATTTCAAAATTTGTAAAGCAATTATAATTTAGTTGGTTTTCACCTTCACAATAGCTTATTAAAACTACTTGCACTCTAATTTCAATTTATTTTGTATACTGTGATAATTTAACTTTTAGGCTAGCACCAGCAATTCTTATAATGTTGACGTGTACAAACTTCTGTAAAGACTTTTTTCACAGAATAAAAAAATACCAAAGTGTTGTCATGAGTAAAGTGATGTGTTTATATACAACTTAAAGATTGTTCCACCAGGATAAGGGCAAAACTTGAGAGCATTATCCTCTTTACTCATTGAACATCCTTCCTCCCTTCCAAAAAAAGGTTTAAAGGGTATAAGAAAGATTATTTTAGTATAGGAATGCAATTAAAGGATAGTGTTGATGGGAGGAATAGCTAATCTCTGTTTTTGTGTTGGAGACTTTCATTAGACATGCTCCTAGCCTCTCTATACACTGGAAAAGTGACTTTCTAGGGGTAATTTTAGAGAACTAGGCACTCACTGCCCAAATCCTTCCAGCTTTCCCTGTTACCCCTACTTGCTAGCAAAAAGAATGTTCCCTGGACCACGCAGGGAGAAACTTGCAGCCAGCCTAGCTAGTGAGGGAATGGGTTTAGTCCAAAGGTGGAGCATTAGCAAGCCAGGTCAGCTGAAGCTCTTGACACCTGCCCTGGAGTTGTATTAGTTATTTATCTCAGTCTCCCTGACTTGCTCCAACTCTCAGTTCCAAACATGAATAGGAAGGAGGGTGTTATCCTTGGAAGCAGCATAATAGCAGCAGCGTCAGATTCTGACCACCTTTACTGCTATGCCATTTTACCTTGTTTATTGTCAACAGCTTCCTGAGTGGCTTGTCTGCTTCACTCCTGCCCTCCAAAATAGCCCAAGTGATTATTTTAAATCAAAGTCAGATGGTAGCCCCCTGTTCAGAACCCTATTGTGAAATACTCAAGTCCTTCACATACATGATCTAGCTATTGTCCCAGATAGAAACTTCTACTCTCCCTCTTGCTCATTCCATCCCAGCATGCCTGCCTCAGGAAACTCATTCTCTGCCTGCAGAAGCCCTCTCCCAGATATCTACATAGCTTTGTGTCACCACCTCACTGAGGCTTGCCTAACATATCAAAATTTACAGTCTACTCCCACCAATACTACCTCTGTATCTTTCTCTACAGCAAGTAAGACCAGAAGGTTTACATTATAGTAAATATACAGTTAGTAAGTTAGAGGAGTACAAACAGGAAACTCAAATAGGAAGTCATTTTGTCAGTGATATCAATGAAGTCACTGGAAACTCTTCTGCCTCCACCAAGCGTGTTTGCCTTAAATCCTATAGTACTATTAGTTTTCACATGACATTTGACAGCATTCTTGGCTGTATTCAAATTACCTGTGGTGCTTCTGTGCACGTGGCCATCCCAGATCCCTCATGCTAAGCCCCTTTACTGAGAATGAAGGGGATGTAGTTCCAGACAAAAATAACCAAGGCAAAGAGATGATCCTTTAATTTTCGTCCCTTTCTTGGCATTTTACAAAATCTGGATACAGGTGCAGACTGATAACTGTAAGTTAAAAATGGAACCAGAGAGCTCTAGAAAAAGCAAATAAAATATGGGACAAAAGTATTAAGCTCAGTATGATTTGTAGTTTGAAATAAGATGACTAGTTGATGAATGTATTAATAGTACATATAAATACTATCATCTGTCAAATCATAGTATCTAATCAAATTTCAGATACCTACTATGTCTTCCTAAAAGACACAATTGCCATAGTGTTTGAGACATAACAGACATTCAATAAATGTTTCCTGAACTAAACCTCACTTTGGGATGGTTAGAATTTATTACAGATGGGAAACTATCATAGATGATTTAAGCAAACCAAATCATATTACATCTAAAACCAACTTAAACTGATACAAAATCTACTCATTTGGTATATAGCTGATTCGTTCAAGTTTTGGCAAATATTCACACAAACCAAGAAAAAAAGATTTCCAGATTTTTATTTCTGGAACTGTACACCAGGTATTAAAATACAACAAATACAAAATAATGCTAAAAAAAATCAGTGTTTATGTACAAATATTAAAATCAATGCAACACAGCAACTTCCTCTTGAATACCGGATACTAAAACTTGTTCTGATTGTCACTAATTTATTTCATACTCACAGGGTACTTATTTCAAACTGGGACAACTGGAATCACTGGTCATCTAAGAGTAATATTAATATCTACCATATTTAACAATAAAACTAATAGGTTCCTCCTTTTAGTGAAAAAATTAGGAACTTTTTTAAAAAAACATAGTAATGTCATTATTTTTACAAATTATTTCAATTTCCATTTGTAGACAATGTGCTTTGAAACTCTGGGCAAACAATCTCCTTGGTGGTCAGGTTTATTTGTTAGTTTACATTCAAAGTTGAAATATTTACTAGAGACTTTGGTTAAATTAAATAGTATCACTATGCTCTATTAGATCGATGTTCTTCAATATTTATGCCCCTCAATTTTAAAAATTAAAAGAAAATGATTGCACAATTCTTTGACTTAATTGTATAGACTTTAGTTTGTTTTTTAACAGTATTCTACATCCTTCAAGTAAATTCAGCAGTTGACCATGACAAGAGGAAAACTAAACATTTAAAAAGCTACCAGGAAAAAGATGAAATACAACTAACGAAAGTATTGCTATAATCACAGCACCAGTTACACTTCTAAATGAATCCACTGTCCTCTTCAAATTCCCTGTACATAAAAGATTTATCAGCCAACACTGTAATTTCTCACCATGAATTTTTGGTTTGTTCATATGAAAATAATGCAGCAAAGGAAAAAAAAAGAATTTATCACAGTTTGTTATAAGAATTGTGCTTAATACTTAATAATAAAGGCATTATTTTCTTCATATGATTGCAAATCAGATATTTTCATGTTTTCAAATGCAATTCTTTTAATAAACAGTAACAAATTCTGTTAAAATGTTTAAACAGAAAAAAACCCAGTAAATCCAGCTTTTAAAAGAAAATTCAATAAATAGCTATTTTACATGGACAAAGTCATAGTGGTACAATTTATGAATGTCACATTAAGCATGCACAAAAATGGTATTATACATAGCAGAAGTAGTCAGAAAATATTGAATTAGGTCTAAAAAGATATGAAGGATTTACACATATATATACAAAAATCTTGCAAATTATTGCCTCATTTTAACAAGGAATTAAAAGTAAACGTTACCAGCTAGTTAGCACTCTCTAAGAGGCTAAAATCAGATCGGCATTAAAAATCTATTAAACTAGCTGGAATTTATTTTTCTCTCATATCATCTTCTGGATTTTGGTCAAAAATCTTTTAAATAACTAAAGTGTCCATTCAACTTGCTGATAATCAAAACTTTAGATAAGAAACACTGTTTCCATCTTATATCAAGATCCCAGCAATGCATAGATAAACTGAATATATTACTGCATCAGCTAATGAGAATGGGCATGTTTATTTAAGTGCAACTGGTATTAGCATTCAGTCATCTTTGAGTAAATTATTTATACAGACCAGCCACTGTAAACCTGGAGTGAAAATTAAAGTTCTAACAATGGAAGATTATGGCCAGTATCTTACTAAATTATAAAAAGCATACTGATTTTTAACAAAAGATAAAAGGGTCAAAGTTTAGCACAACAACACAGCAATAAGAAGCTGACAACTTGGATAAAAAGAAAGCAACAAAGAGCCCAGGCTACCAATATATACTGTGTGCATACAGGAATGCTAGACTTTAGATGTATAAATTAGAGACTGATTTTAAGTTATTAATTTAACTACTTTTGTCCACTGTGCTAAACTAAATTTTATAGTAAATGTGCTACTGCGTAAACACTTCAAAGCACTCTTCATCAAAATGCTGCAAAGAAAAACGAGAATACATACCATCCAAAACTAAGGATGTCATTGCAGTTCACAGTTTGTATAATAAATACCCTCCCTTTCAATCACTAAGACCACTACATCCTATCTACTCATCAGCACAACCTTGAAGCAACTTACACTTACAAATACTAGCATTGCGGCCAAACATTTAAGTTTTTTGCAAAGCAACACAACTAGAAAAAAATCAAACAATTAAGATGGTGCAAAAAAAGTAATTGTTTTAACTGTACTATAAAAGCAAAGCTTATCACCTAATACTGTATTACATACTGTTTGATTCACCTTATAACTTATAAGATGCATGTCCTTAGGGCAAAAATGACCAAAGTTTATGACCATGGCTTCTCATTCACAACGTTTGAAATAAAAAATAAAAGTTTGAGATGCATCTGAACGTCTTTTTAAAACTTAAAAGTGGTAACGTACCATTCTATTTCAGACAGGAACTCATTTTTCTTGCCAACTGTTCAAGCTAAACAAAATAGCTTAAATATACTTCAAGGTTCTACTGCATTATGCATAAAATCTAGAAGTCTCTCTAAATATTAACACCTTGAACTGCAGTGCTACAAACTTAAGAGGTGTCCCAAAATGTAAACCATTGAGTGGTAACATCCCAGGATTTGTAGACAGTGCTTCCACAAGTCAATTGCCTCAGGATAAACTAAACTATCAGTGACCATTATGATTAAGATTACAATCTTGATATTAATGGACAAAACTCCATATGAATATCACATCTTCAAATATCAATTTTTTTTTAGCCAATAAATGAGATTACAAAGAAATATCCTGGCAGTAAATAACCAATTCTGCATAAGGTAGCCCTGGTCTAAAATTTTGAAACAGGATCCAAGCAAAAATCTTCATAATTTGCACACAGTTTTTCGCGCTGGCTTCCATAAAGATGGACTTGCTGTTTTGTAAACTGAAGTGCTCTAGGTGAATAACATGAGAGAAGTTTCCACTTTAAAAAAATCCTTGCATGTTTGTGCAGTTTAAAGAAACCTACCCCTGCTTTTATTAATAAAGAAATTAAAACCAAAAAAATGCTACATTGAGCAGGGACTGGGATCGGTACCTGTAAACATCGTTATTCCACTGCATCCATTTCGGCAAAAGGAATTTACATGAAAAGAAGCCATACCATTCAGTTCAGAACATCTGTGCTGGTTTTGAGCTGGTGGCCTCTGTCTACAGGTTTTAAAATTG